GTACCGTCCCTGGTCCCCAGCTGCTGCGAATGCATCATTCCGAGGTCCTTGGCCGCCAGGATTGCCGTCCTTGGTGGCACCTCCTCTTCCCCTGCCATTCCTACTAGGAGCTGGGTAGCTGCTGCTCCTCAGGCCCCTAAGCCTCCCTCTGTAAACATATGGTTCCTGTATTGAAACTATCTCAGACTCATCAGTTAGGATGCTTTCCAGTTCCCCAGTTGCATCCATACTGTGCTGCAGATTTATCTGACCCACCCTCAACGTCGCCATCGCTGCCTTGATTATGCTTTGGGTGGCCCTTCCCCGGCCGTGTCCGAGGGACCGCCACCTTTTCCGGGGAAGCCTAGCAAGGACCCCGGCGGTACTCTACGCACCTCCAGGGTGAACAGCTCATAGTAGAGCCCCATGCCTTGCTCCTCCAGGATCCTGACAGTCCCCTGGCTGACCGCATGAATGTCAGGAACCACCCTCCGGCCTCTCCTACAGTTTCTAGGTGCCTCCACCCCTCCACGTTCGAAGAACGGTTTTGGAGGCTCAGCACCCTAGTCACTCTGGCAACTTCCACCTCTGCTGCCCTAAGCCAGATTTTCACCGGCCACGAGCTATATTCATTTAAGTGCAGAGGATGTTTCAGAAATGGTATAACAGTTTTGAATTTGTGAAAGAAAAATATTTAAATGAAAATATGGTAGCTATTGAAAAAGAAAATAATTTCAATTTCGAGAAGTGTCAAGACAAATACGAATTTGCCATACTGAAATTTCATTTTTTATGTCGAAAACGGGAGCAGATTCGTTCCCGAAACGTTCAAAGATAAGTAAAAATTCGATATTTCTTCGGTATACCTTTATTTCTATTCTCCAAACCTTTTTCAATACAAATTGTCACTGACAAGCTAGTGAATCTTTCTTAGGCTCTCTGATAGGAAAATTCTTTAAACGTAGTGACATTTAGGTGGCAAATCATCTGATTTGTCCTCACTACACGTTTATTGAAATATCGGCTGAGCATTTATATCTTGAAAAAAGTGTGGTTCGTGGTTGTGATTCTGGTTGCATCATGGCGCCCTAGAAGTGGTTAGCAAATCCATTGTAAGCTGTAGGTCCCGCACTTCCTAGCCCCGCACAAGTTCCTTCCTCTGGCGACTTGGTTTACAAACTTCAAAGTATAACGATATACAAATTTTACAAAATTGTATAGCCTTTATCAAGATCTACAATAGTATATACAGGGTGGCCCACGAGGTTTTGGCCAGTCGATATCTCGGAAACTATTTGAACTATAATTTTGAAATTTGGTGGTTTCAAACAGTGGAATGTGGTGTTTATTTTTGATATAAGAAAGCTTTATTGCAACATCGCATTTCCGATCACGTGACATCAACTTCAAAATTTCAAATGGAACACCTTGTATATTATTGCATATTCGATACCATAATGGTCAGCGGTTTTTCGGCACTACAGTTAAGATACTCCTGTTGTTCTTTAATAAATTTTCCATTTTCCATTTATTTGACAGCTCATATTGTCACCGTTTCACATGAAAACCTTGAAAATGATGGTATCGTAGTATTTGCATTAGGAAGGTCTTCACAATAATGCAATAATATACAGGGTGTTCCATTTAAAATTTTGAAGTTGATATCACGTGATTGGAAATGTGATGTTGCAATGAAACCCTCTTGTACCAAAAATGGTCACCGCATTCCATTGTTCAAAACCACAAAAATTCAAAATTGTAGTCCAAATAGTTTTCGAGATATCGACTGGCCAAAACCTCGTGGGCCACCCATAGAATGATTCAAAATTCGATGTAAATATTTTGAGGACGTCTTGTTGGAATCAAATAAGACTTTTCTTCATGAAACATGTGTCCTAAAATGCACCCCACTTCAGCAAATAAAAGTGAGGACCCCTCTCCAACCACCCCAAAACTGGGTTCACATAATGTTTGAAGAAAGAGTGGAATGAAGTATCTAAAAGGACAGGGGCCTGACAATTTGATTTGTTATTTTAGTCACAATTTCAGAAAATATACTTTCTTTAACTAACTAACAGTGGCTGTAGCTTGGAAGGGGTGAATTATAGGACATATATTTATAAAGAGAAAAAGTGTTATTTTGACCCCAACAATATATCCTTAAGATATTTAAGTACATCGAATTTTGAATCACCCTGTATAGACCAGGGGCTCACAAATTATTTTTGTTTATCATTCGTTTACCCTTGACAGTATAGAACGACCTGAATGTTTTACACTCCTAGACAGTTGACAACAAGCTGCACTCCAATGTTGAAAAATGCTACTTACTGTATTACTTACAATGAATCGAGCAATGAATTAACCAATAATGTTAAAAAATTCAACTATCTGATAGATAACAGATGATTAAAAAAACTCACTGACATCAAGGATTTAGCAGTTACATTTCAAAATTCATTTAAATTTGAGAAACCCCACGGAAACAATTTTTTTTTATGTTCGACGTGGCATATAGCCAGGAGTAGTTGTTTTTTATGGAATATTCAAAATGATATTATGTGAATTAATTTATATGAAGAATACAAATTCTCTACTTCAGAAGATTTTGTATTCAAATTCTTATCGTGTGTGTTCCATAGATATAATTCAATGTTCGTCATGGCATATAGTCAGAAAAGTGGTTGTTTTCTGTTGAATATGCCGAGAAAGCATAAATATTTTCATCACATGGAGAATGCGAATTCTCAATGTATTTCTTCATATATATATAAATTTTTTTGTGTTCATAAATATACCTGAGAATATTCCTTTTCGATACATAAACAATGTTTCACGCAGTGCAACCAACTTCATAAGTTTCCTAATGCGGCCGACATACGAATTTAAAAGCATCAAAACCATATCTCTTTTATATTTCACACTTATATACGGGGTAAATTAGAATTTGCATCAATTATCTGGGACACAGGAAAGCAGCAACTCATCAAATGTCTGGATACAGTACAAAATAAATTACTATTATTCTACACTACAAAAAATATCAAAGGTGTCCTGATTGTGCATCCTATGAACCACTCCAAATAGAATTCAATATTCCCAAGTTAGGAATGAGAAGAGTGAGTCAGAGATTGACATTTTTTTCTAATAAATAAGTCATGATACAGAAAGTATTCTGTTACTATCTAGAATAAACATACATGTTTCAAACCCCAAGCTGCGACCCAAAAACATTTTATTTCATATAAACAAAACTCCTTATTTGATTGACAATATGTGCGCTTCTCATGATAAGTTCACGGAAACATTAGTACACAATAAACATTGATCATTTCAATATGAATCTTACGAAGGCGCTGAAGGGCCACCTATACTTTTTTTTTGAATCCCGACTTTAAAGTCGGGGGTCCGAGATTAAAGTCGGGGGTCCGAGATTAAAGTTGGGGGTCCGACTTTAAAGTCGGGGGTCCGAGATTAAAGTCGGGGGTCCGAGATTAAAGTCGGGGGTCCGAGATTTGAGTCAGGAGTTCTAAACTGAAGTTAGGAGCTAGATTATATTCGTTAAATATGTGGACAGAAATAAATAATTTCCATTGTTACTCATCAGTTTGACGTCAGCAATATGCTCCTGAATTTTCAACATGTACTCGAGAAACACCCTGTACATTTATGTACAAACAATAATTTTACATCCATTGGATAATCATCACATAAGGATCAGTCAAAATCCTCCTTTTTGGATGTACACTGAATGTCAAATAATGGATCACACCTGTACGATCATTATCGTACGTATAGGGTGGTTGTTTATATTCCACTTAATAGCTGAGAATCTCATTTGTTTGTTCAAAGGGTGCAAAAAGATTACAATACAAAACATATATTTTCACAAATGAACTACCCTGAATGTCATTCCGTCCTTGGGTAGAGCTCAGAAAGATGAGTTCAATGATATATGATTACATTTGTAGGTATGAGTTAACCCTTCCGGACTATTTTCATAATCTTCTTCAATAAATAGCCAAATTTCAAAGCCTTATGAAAACGTTGAGAATCAAGTTTTTAATGCGCAGTTTTCATTATGAATTAACTAATTATATATGTTATATTGATATTTTGTCAATATTAAGGATATTCGAATTAAACAAAAGTGATGACGTATTTTGCAAACCGATCATTTTCTCGGAATTTCCGAATGTATTCAGTTTCATTCTTGGTTAGAGCTAAGAAAGACGAATTCAATGATATATGATAGAATGGGTCTGAGAACATCCGTTTCGGACTTATCCATGAAGTCCGAGATTAAAGTCGGACCCTCGACTTTAATCTCGGACCCCCGACTTTAAAGTCGGGATTCAAAAAAAAAGTATAGGTGACCCTTCAGCGCCTTCGTAGAATCATGCTTCATTAAAAAATTCTATACTTACACCAAGTAATGATGATGGACTTCGAATATGATATTCCTTCAATTGTATTTTCCAGCCTCTTCACTCATTATAAGTATACCTATTTCTCCTTGTTTAAGAATGATTTCTTCTAATTTTTCTTTCTTTCTTTCTTTTTCTTTAGTAACGCATTCAGTTATGCAGGTATTTACATCAACTCGGAAGATACATGTAATTTGGTTTTTATAAACCTGTTTGTAATCTTTTCTAATGAATACACATATATTCCACCTTTTTCACTACACAGATATGAGCTCGTTGAATCAAAATCGTGTAACAAAGGGTGAAGGGGGGTGTCTGCGTGGGTGGAGTTGTATCAAAAATCACTAGGGGACTTGAATCATTACTTACCGGTCGGCGTATGTCGAAATTACTGTAATTGGAAAAAAGTTTGGGCAGACGGAATTGCCATACGCAGGTGGAATTTGGGAGGTTCTTATAGGTACTACTGAGTATGTGAACAAATGAGACACAAAAAACACGTTGTGGGCTCCCGGTCTATAGTTGACATGTTTTGGAAATGATGATCTTGATGATTTTCGCGATATTATAAATTGTCTTATTTTCTCTTTCTAGGTACTACTTGGACTCAGGAAATGGTTTGGATGATAATGCACAATCTTGATTTTGTTGGAGGAGAAGCCAATTTGGGAGTTAGATCACCATTTCTGGAGTATGTATTACTCAAACGATGTAAACAATATGAAAAAATTGATTTCGGAAATGTCCTTAGTTCGAATCGATTCAAGTTCAGACACCATGTTTTTCATGCTTATAAACTAGAGTTTTTTCATAGAAATTCTAATGCAAGAATATGAGGATCTCGATCAATTTAACTCAGTACATAAGGTAATAATTTCCGATTCAGAGGGTTTCTTATAATTGTGATTCATTTGAACGTTTTTGCAAGTTTATATCATTATAATAATGGTATGACTTAAATTGCGAATTTTGAACTAAGGCGTTTTGAAAATGAGAAATCGAGAGCTACAGTATTGATAAAATTGCTTACATTTCCATATATATATAGGGTGTCTGCTCTTTTCGATTATCGAGAATTCAAAAAAGAAAATATCGAATTCAATCCACCTGCATTCTTGGACAATTCCCTCAAGTTTGTCAGAGATCAAAGCATGAAAGGGCCCATATGCTTGAAGACACATCTGCCATGGGTATTGTTGCCGAAAGAAATCCAGAATCAGATCAAACTACCAAAGGTTTGTAATTCTATTAATCTTTATTTGAATTTGAACAAATTATTCCACCTAACTCAAATTGAAGTTAGTTGTGTTGCCCTCTCGTGATTAATTTTCACAGTCTTTCAGCGTCAAGGGAAAGTACTGGTGAAAAGGTGGTGAAACATGAGAATCGAAGTAGAAAGTGGAAAAAAAAACCATTTGATAGTTTGAAACCGAGTGAATATATCGGTGACCATTACTTCTGTATTGGGTGATTTCAAAACATAGCGGATTAGAAAATGTTTTCAGTTTTTCTGAAATTCTTGTCAAGTTTACCATTTACAATGACACACCTTGCATATTTTCATAAATTCTCAAAGAGAATTCTCCACTGAATCAATTGATATATTATTTGTTATTTAAATTTTCAGTAACAGAAATATCACGAAAAAAACGAACGAAGTAACCAAATAATCAAAACCGTTTATATGTTCGGTGGTGTCAAAACTAACTAAAACTGATGTCAAAGAGAGAGAAACTCAAAGTCATTATCACAATAGTTCATCATGAACGAAAATGGTAGAAATCGAGAGAAAAATAACTACTTTCTTGGCTATATGCCACGTAAAATATAAATATATAGACGTATAGACGAATTAAATCGCAAGTGTTTTATTTCCTAAACGCCGAGCTGCGCCTAAGTAGTTCAGGAACGCGTGACTACCTGCAGATCGGTTGCGAGCTGTTGGCTCTCATCAGTGCAGGGCTGTCCCAGATAGCATTCTTGACCGATTTCTGGTGCGAACCTGACCCAACGTGAACGCATCTCAACATTTATACCCCACGAGGCGTTCAACGTCCGCGAAATGAACGCGAACGCCGAACGCCACCTGGCAAGGAAGGAAACATTCCAAAACAAGATCCCATTTCAGGAGAAATGAGAGTTGCTGATTGCTCGACTGGCGATTTTCAACTAGGAAAAAGCCAAATACTCATATAGTGGAATTCAATGGTCACAAAGAGAGAGACACTCAAAGTCATTACCACAATAGATCATAAAATGAATGAAAATGGTAGATAACGAGAGAAAAACAACTACTCTCCTGGCTATATGCCACGTAGAGCATTGGATTACATCCTCTCGGAATTTATGCAATAATTCCTATTTACGAATAAAATTGCAAGCGTTTCCTTCCTAAATGCAGAGCTGCCCCAGCGAGGACAAAAACATCTCAGAGATGTTAAAAGTACGAGATTTCGCGACATTGAACCTCCACTGCGATGTTCTGTTCACACATGAGTAGAACTATTATAGAACAGCCATTGTCCGCCGCCATGTCACAAAACTACCTTCTCCCTAGTTCTTTTTGAAGCTATTCCATGGACACAACAAAACATTTTCAACGCGTCTTGCGCACATCAAAGCGATATAAAAAAAAACATTTTCGAGGTACTTTTCTGAAGCCTTTTGTCAAAATGAACTTTTGCATTAGGATTCCATTTCCCTTGAATGAAAAAATGCATTAAAAATAGATTGAACATAAAAATATTTTCTTGATATGAAATTACCTTCTCAATCGGTTTCTGAGTAGTGCTTACTACACACAGACATAAAATTGGAAATAGGTTTCCCAATTTTTGGAATGTTCTTCACAATGCATAATTTTGCAACTGCGGAGAAGCTGTGAATTGATAAATTCGTACTTTTATATATTGATTACACTGAGGCACCGAACAACACATCTTGCATCTGATGGTCATCATTACAAACTAAATAAGTCTTTTAACACAATAAACTTCACCAAATTCCTTTCCGTTCGTTAGCAGCGTGATGTGAGCGTGACACGCTGCAAACGCGAATGCCAATTGCGAACAAGAAGAACAAAATCGAAAACAAATCAGAATTCATCGTATTGTGACGTAAGCATAAGACGTTGTGGTGAGGCAAACAAAGAAAGGGCACAAAATAACAAAAACAATACTTTCAATATCCTTCTAAAACCTCTTTGAGAAGTGCATATTGCGCCTCAAAAAAACATTCTCATGCCTACATTTCTAAAACATCCCAAAACATCCCAGGGATACCTCTTAGTAGGCAAACAAAGAAATGCCACAGAAGAACAAAATCAATACTTCAATATCCTTCAAAGACCTCTTTGGTCAGTGCATATTACGTCTCAAAATAACATCATCATGCCAACATTTTCAAAACATCCCAAAATATCCCAGGGATGTTTGTGCTCGCTGGGGCGGCTTCTATGAGTATTTCGCAAACTCGAAATAGGATGATTGTAGCATTAGTAATATTAGTATACTTAGTATTGACTGCTGTTGAGCTATGAGCTGGCTAAGCTCTCACTCTCATGCACTGACGTCTCGTTTTCCTCTAACCTAGTACCGATCCTTCTCCTTTCCGCACTTTACACCCGCATCTCGCTCACCCACCGTACATAACTTCCCTTAGCAACAAGAAAATTCGACATACGAAAGACATATTACTCGCTCTCTTCTATATATTTCGAGGCAGGATACCAATGACTATTCTAGAACACGTGATTTTTACATGGAAAGCACACCAAGTATCTGTTAGGTTACCTTCGATGAACATTGCCCTGGCCTTCCCTACCCACATCCACAAAATTGTGAAATACTTTCGGGTTCCAACTCGGATTCCGAGGAATTCTGGTTTCATATGACAAATCTTGACAAAATACAATGTTTGCCCCCCAGCGACATGTCAAACGACAAACAACGTAATACTGAAATGATTTATAGGTGTAGGCATCACGACATGAAACATCAGTATAAGCAGCATAAGAACATCTAAATTCTTACATGGGGGTATTTTTCTTGGAACGTTGCATTCTGGTTTCGTTCATGCGTTCTTGCAACTGGAAAATATTCAAAAATCCTGGAATAAAACGTCTGGGTTACATTTCAAGTAACTTTTCAAATAGTTCACAATAGGGTTATGTTGAAATGTTTCTTCTAAAACTACACAATCCTGTTAGAGTTGATACCAGCCGAAACGTTCATAGTTTTCGGGGATGTTGTGTATGTGCCTCTTGTATACAAAAGTATTTTATCTATTAGCTTTACCATGTCGAATTCTTAACAAGACAAAGAACACATTACACTCTAACTGCTGTTCCATCGTTCCTCAATACGAATTAAAAATTTTAAGATATCTCTGTTGTTATTCATAAAATTAATAACAAATAACAATGAATTCGCTGGAAGATTCTCTTCCAAATTTTATTGAAATATATAGGATTGAAACAATGAAGTTGAAAATAATTTTTGAAACACTAGAAATGTGGCAACATTGGCGATAACATTTTCGAGTTCGTCATATTATGACATTATTCTGTACAAAAATTCAAGATATTCTTACGAACGGTTACCAAGATAATCACTTGGTTTCACACTTTTGCCCATGCATCACCGTATAATATAGGGCCGTCACAGAATACAACATAGAACGCCAGCAATTCAATATTAACTATTTGACTTTCTTTGAAGCAATAGGATACTACCAAATGAAGTAATAAGAGTATATCTAATGACGTGCCATGGTGAAACAAGAGAATCGATCATGTGAAAGCTGATACTCAAATACTCGATGAGGTTGATAGGTCGGATGAATGTGCTGACCATAGAAGAGCCATCACAGAATACAACAAACAATCCGAGATTGTACTCTACTTCCTATGGATTGATGTTCAACAATGAAATCGTTATTGGTCAAATAATTCACCTATGAAGAAGGCACATAGTGGGAAAATAATGCATTCGTGATATGATTAAAAAATATGGTATGATGAGTTCGAGGGCATGAATGAATCAAAGGCAATGAGTTAGCTGATCGCCTTGCAGAAAATATCTGCATTCATTGATCCCGAGACTTTCTGTGGACAAACATATCGCACGTTGAGAACATCAATAGTGTGACAGCTCAAAAAGTTGATTTTTTTCGAGTTAAAACCTCCGTCGGATAGCAATTTTCGAGCTCTACACTTCTAGAATATCGTGACATCTCTAGGTCCAATAGCTGCTGCGTGACATCACTGGTCTCGTTATTGCACTAGAGGAGAAGTAGGTACTACAGCTAAGCAAGAAAGTGACTTTTTGCATTGTCACCTAAACTTCGCAGGATACGCCTATAGCATTCCAACTTCATGCAAAATTTCAATTAAACTCAAAATTTGTTTCTATGCAAAAATTATAGAAAATAGAAAAACTGCTCAAAGAGGAATGTTCAGCAATCGAAGGGCACGATTTGGATTTTGCTAGAATGATAGGAACTTAGATAATCTCAATAAATCCAGTCATGAATACAATGGGGTCTACAAATGATGAAAAATACCTATAATAGGTACAGTTATACGACAATTTTTTGAGATGTAACATCTCAGAGAATTGCTGTTTTTTAGTCGTGACATCCCTAAAAATTGTCGAATATGATGAATCAAAACTGTAACATGTTCAAATTTTTCTTGAAAAATTGGAAAAAAAAATATTCGAAAATATTATAACTAGTAATTTCCTATGTGAGCTTATGATATAATAATTTTTCGCGGTGAATGAGGTTCACCAGAGACAAATTCATCATCATTAAGAAGTAGAAGTAGAAAACGAAGAATTGCGATATCCCTGATGATAGAGCTCAGAAAATGGGAATAAACCGAATAGGTAGTCCTTCTGATGGATAGCAACTTCCGGTCAACAACAAGCGAAAAGTTTCATCAAGCATTCGCAAAACAGTACCAAGAAGCTGTTCAGCCTCAAGAAAACAGAGCTAGATCTAGAGGTTTCTCACTGGAGACTGAAGTACCACCTAAGAAAATTGAACCTAGCGGAGACTGACACCTCTAGAGGTTTTGCAACATTGCGACCGAAACCGCTCAACACTATAGAAATCTATTAATCCGCTAGGCTGAATCATCCAGAACAGGTCTATCTGCCTGCTCATATAAAAAATTCAACCGTCAAGAAAATCATTAGGCTTCATTCGAAGTCTAGGTTCAGAAGACTAAAATAAGATGGATCTTCTAGCTCGCAGTGATCGAGAGGTCTCCTAGCCTATACGACACACCTACAATCTACATGGTAACCTCAACTCAAAAACAGATAATATCCGAGCTGAAGCCATATTCCGATACTTTCATGATTTCCATTGTCAATAATTTCGAATCTGAGATAAAGACTAAATAGCTGAACTTATAATATCGGTTATTGTAGCAATAAGACGTTGAAGTTATTGCTCTAGTATCATGCAAGAAGCTCTTATCTTAAAGAAAAAGCAATGAAAATCCCAAAGTCTGTCGACCACAAAATCATTTAATAAGCTCTTATCTTCTTCAATTATGATGTCTTGAGGCCTGGAAAGTGGTGCAGTTCATTTTCGAACTTATCGGTTGCTCAGTAGTGATTTGTTCAGGCAATGTTCTTCAAAATTATTGAAGTTATGAAGCGTGGATATTGTTCCGTTCATCTCCTTTGTTCTGTCCATTAATGTAAACTCAAAAATAATAATGAATGTCTTTGCATTTTATGCTATCCGTGTATGGCTCAATGTATATCCCAAAATCAAATTCGCGCATCAGGCCTTTGAAGTTTTATATGCAGCGCCTCCAAGGAGCCATCGAGGATCAAAGAATTAGAACTTTTTCGTACATCGAATACGACACTCAATTCGATCACTTTGGATCTTCACAAGTGAAATTTTATTAGTATTAGTTATTTCACGCGACGCAAGTGGTTCCCTAGTTCTTGAGTCCAGTCCAGAGCGCCGGCCGGCCGGTCAACAAAGTATAATTTCATGGGAAAACCATGAGGTATGATCTTAAAGACGACGCTCAATTTTGCCTGCAGTCCATTTTTTTCTCTCCTGAGACTTTACGAGAAAGGGATTCGCCCCTAACGTAACAGATAATTACCCACTAAGTTATTATGATGGCAATTTTTTTCAAGTATTATTGATTATCTTTGGTGTGTTTGGCGACTCGAGAATCTCTGTAGAAGTTATAGTAGTTAATATATCAAACTTTGACCCTTTTACATATTTTGTGATGATCTCAATCTGTGTATTTCAGTATTCTTTTTAATTCCAGATTATTTATGTTACAAGAAATCCGAAGGATACATGCATATCATATTACAATCATTCAAGACTAATGGAAGGATATCGGGGAAACTTTGAGAACTTCTGCAGATTATTCATCGCAGGCAAATGTAAGATATTCTATTGAAGTCACACCGATTCAAATTCTTTATACAGGTTGTTCATCGTATCGTTACATATAGGAGTATTGAGGAAGGGTAGCATTTGACAACATCGCAGTCACAGAGAGACGCGGAGAGCAACGCAGTTGGACGCATAATGAATTTCAGTTTTGAATATTTCCACCGATGACGTACGATAACCGAATCATGTTGCCATTCTCATACACTTTTCATGGTTTACAAAATGCTGCTTTGAAATTGGAAAAATTTCAATTATTTCCGGAGATATCCGAAAAAAAGGAAAATATGCAAAATCGTTTTTATTCATCACACAGTTAATTTGAAGAGATATTTCAAAGTAAATGTCACTTTGTCATTGCCACTTTTCCTCTTTACAAAATGGAATTTTCAAATTGGAAATCCGATGTTTCTTCTTCGAGAGTGGCCATCATCAACTTTAATTTTTTAAATACGGACGCATTTTGCATTTCATTCTTCGATAGAAGAGACTCATCTCAGCCCAACACAGCATTTTTGGTATTGATTCATCTTTGTCTTAGACATTATTCAGTGTGTGTTATACCAAACCAAAAATCAAAATCGAACAATAATAGTTCATCATTTAATGAAATAATATTCATGAATGATGAAAACAGAATTTATTCAAACAAATAATATCCAATATGGAAAAAAAGCAATAGAATGTTCAAACGCAAACGGAAATATTTTCAGCATATCGCATCTATAGAGGAAATCACATTCTAAGAACATACATCCCAACTGTTTCAAAAGTGATTAAACCCCATTTATCATCAATGTATGGATAGAACTAATTGGAAACTGCTCAATTAGGGATTTTATATCAATATCAACTTTTCTGAAAGGACAACCAAATCCGTTATTAGAATAGGTTCCTTTGAATATTCGAGGTGATATGTCTCATGCACGATGGTGCGTCTCCTCATTTCGACAGAGTTAGCTGTAAGAGATCATTTGAACTTCACTTTTCCCGCACTGCAAATAAACCCGCTGCACGCACAACAATATGCCTATCAGACTGGGAAGTCCACAGATGCGGCTCTCCATCATCTTGTCCATAAGATAGATGGAGTGCTAGCTGGTGGACGCTCAGCCATGGGAGTCTTTCTAGACATAGAAGGAGCATTTGACAATACGTCATTTGAATCGCGGATAGGCATGGGGTTCATCAAACTTTGACCAGGTGGATTAGGGCCATGCCATCGTAGCGAGTGGTGAAAGCAAAACTATGTGGGAGATCAGTTGTTGTCAAGGTATCAAAAGGATGTCCTCAAGGAGGGGTTTTATCACCACTACTATCGTGCCTGGTAGTAGACGAACTCCTCATAGATTTGAATAAGCCAGGGCCATATGCGCAAGCATATGCAGATGACTTGGTAATAATGGCCCAAAATCAATCGGCGAACCGGCTAGGGAATCCAATCATGGAAGCCCTCAATAAAGTGGAACAGTGGTGTTCCACCAGTGGATTGAGAGTCAATCCAGAAAAGGCGAACTTGGTATTAATCACTAAGAAACGCAAAATAGGAACACTTCCTGAGATATTTCTCCCGGGAAAGTGTCTCCAATATAAAAGATCATCAAAGTACCTTGGAGTTATAAAAGACTCCAAGCTCACTTGGAATGAGCACATTGCAAACCGCACTAAAGAGGCTGTATGCTGCATCTGGGCATGCAGACGAGCCTTTGGAAAAACATGGGGTCTCACACCTAAGACCCTTCACTGGATATACACGGCAGTAATACGCCCAACACTTACGTACGGGTCCATTGTATGGTGGACCAGTACCAATAAGGGCAAGACCAACAGAGAACTGGATAAAGTCCAGCGACTGGCCTGCCTGGGAATAACAGGTGCTCTGAGAACGACGCCTACCAGGGCTCTTGAAGTTCTGTTAGGTCTGCCGCCTCTACACCTGTTCATACAACACGAAGCCATGAAAACTGCTTACCGACTTAACGGTGCAAACCAGTCGGTCGGAACAGAAGCAGATCATGGACACTCCCTCATATGGAATAAGGCAAAGGAAAACTGTCCCATCCTCATGATGAGAAGGGATAATACCTTGCCAATTCTGAACTTCAACAAAGCCCCAAACACTGTCATCTCTACGGAGGGGAGAATGGAATGACACAACACCTGGCGTGCCTCCTCCTAATGAGTCAATCTGGTACACGGATGGCTCAAAATTTGGGGGCGGTTCAGGTGCAGGGGTATACAATGAAGGAACAGGGAAAGAAATTTCAGTTCCTTTGGGCAAATATGCCTCAGTGTTCCAGGCAGAAGTACTTGCAATACTCACCTGTGTCCAAGAAAACCTAATTATGAGAGGTCGTAGACCAATCACTATATGCTCGGACAGCAATGCTGCAATACTGGCTTTGCAATCCAATAGGATCACATCCAATTTGGTGTCCGAGTACAGAAAAGCCTTGGAAAACCTGTCAAAATCAAGAAAAGTCAGCCTCATGTGGGTCCCGGGACATTCAGGAATACCCGGAAACGAGGAGGCAGACAGACTGGCAAAGATCGGTTCAGGACGGACCTCGGTCGGACCGGAACCAATCTTGGGAATACCAAATAGCCTGGCAATGTCCTCTATAGAGGAACAGCTGCAAAAGCAATTCCTCAAAATATGGCAGGACACACCAGGAATGCAGCAATCGAAGCTCCACATAAAGGAACCTTCGAAGAGGCTCGCAAAAGAGGTTTTATTCCTAAAAAGGCGAAACCTTAAAATGGTAGTGGGGCTCCTGACGGGGCACAATCACCTCAATAGGCACCTAGAGCTTATTGGGATCGAGGATGACCCCCTTTGCAGATGGTGCCTGGAAGATGACGAAACGTCATCACATGTATTCACTGAGTGTCCAGCACTGACGCATCAGAGGAGGGCTGTCCTTGGCAACATAATTTTGAGGCCAGAGGACGTAAAAGAGATCCAGCTGAGGAAGCTGCTGAACTTCTCCAAGGCAGTCGGCATACCCAGCTGAATGTCGTAACATGTTGGCGCACAATGGGCCCGAATAAGGAGGCCCACGTGCAGGGGGTTCACCCGCCCACCAGTGCTTCGAAGAAGAAGAAGAAGAACCGTTTGAATGTTTTACATGAAATTCATCTTTTTGATTCTAACTTTCAAGGTCGATAACACCTTAATGTAGCGCGATAGACAGATTTTTCATGTGAAGTACTAAAATAAGTTTTGCTCATTCTATTAGCCCTATTATATATCACCACATGACCTTTCCGGTATGTGTTTATCGTGAAAAGAATATAATTTATTCTTCAATTACTTTCAGTGCCATTCGCTCCCTATTGGGACCACAACCTACCATTCTAGGAACGTAGAGACAAACCTAATATCCTCTCTTCTTCTTCGTCTTCTTCTTCTTCGAAGCACTGGTGGGCGGGTGAACCCCCTGCACGTGGGCCTCCTTATTCGGGCCCATTGTGCGCCCACATGTTACGACATTCAGCTGGGTATGCCGACTGCCTTGGAGAAGTTCAGCAGCTTCCTCAGCTGAATCTCTTTTACGTCCTCTGGCCTCAAAATTATGTTGCCAAGGACAGCCCTCCTCTGATGCGTCAGTGCTGGACACTCAGTGAATACATGTGATGACGTTTCGTCATCTTCCAGGCACCATCTGCAAAGGGGGTCATCCTCGATCCCAATAAGCTCTAGGTGCCTATTGAGGTGATTGTGCCCCGTCAGGAGCCCCACTACCATTTTAAGGTTTCGCCTTTTTAGGAATAAAACCTCTTTTGCGAGCCTCTTCGAAGGTTCCTTTATGTGGAGCTTCGATTGTCTCATTCCTGGTGTGTCCTGCCATATTTTGAGGAATAGCTTTTGCAGCTGTTCCTCTATAGAGGACATTGACAGGCTATTTGGTATTCCCAAGATTGGTTCCGTCCGTCCTGAACCGATCTTTGCCATTCTGTCTGCCTCCTCGTTTCCAGGTATTCCCTCATATCCTCTTTTTGAAATATTTTTGTAGAAAAAAAAGAAGAAATCAAACGGTGGAAGCAAAATATGTCATATCTGTCAAAAATGCCTTTATTAAACGGAAAAAAATTGTCCCATACTGTATAAAACATATTCACGGAAAATCCGTTCACATATGGAAAGTATAGCATTATAATAAGTTAATTTACCTTGAATATCATTGATACCATATGGCAACCTTCTGAAAGTTATACATGAAATCCATCTTATAAATGCTCACTTTCAAGGTCAATAGCATATTTTTCACATGAAGTACTAACATAAGTCTTACTCATTCTATTAACCTTATTATTTATCACGACATGACTTTCCTGAATACTTTGTAGGTATGTGATCGGTGGTAACGGTTTATCGCGGAAAGTATATAACTTATGCTCCGTTTACTTTCAGTGCCATTTGCCCCCTATTGGAACCACATCCTACCATTCTGGGAACGTCGAGACCAACCCAATATTCTCTTCTTGAAATACGAAGAACTGATCCATGACCTGCCCTCCGTCATACGAAACGTCGCAAATTTCCTCGATAGACCTTTGTCTTGTGAACAAGTAGAAGTTTTGAGCAGTCATCTGAGTTTCGCTAGTATGAAGAATAATCCAGCAGTGAATTACGAAATGGTCGTCGATTTGAATAGGAAGTTCAATCTCATAGAGTGCGAGGGTAGTTTCATGAGATCGGGAAAAGTTGGAGACTACAAAGCAAAAATGGCACCAGAAATCATTGAGACATTCAACGAGTGGACCGCGAAGAATTTGAATGGATCGAGTTTGAAGTACTGAAAATGGAAATATAATATATTATTCATGAGGAGAGTCACGTAGCCAAACGGTGAATAGGTTATATCAAGGAAAGTTGATGTATATATTTATTTATATAATATATAAAATTATTTTTTGGTCATCCCTAACGCAGAGACAGAGGATATCATGTTGAATTGCAATATATCTTTGATGGCCGATATTTCAGAATTGATTCATCGTAATTTCCTGAAATTTGGTAGCGACATTTCTCTATGGAATCTTTCCAAGATGGAAAATTATGAAATGAAAAACCCAGTTCCAGACTTGGAAAAAAGTCATGTTTCATTATTATGTCACTTTGTGATCACTTTTCTCGAGGAATTTCATCAAATTCAGAAGGATCACACAAAATGCCATAGAACTGCACTTTAATTTGCACGGCACACTTTGACCGGTTCAATGAAAAAATATTAAACAAACACGTTCGCATGATTTTTCAATTACGACCTGGCTGTAAATTTCCAACTGGATTTATATGAATTGATTTTTTGTACATTTCTCTTGGATAGAAATTGTCAGAGAAGATATTATTAGTCGTGACTATTTTATGAATTAGTAGTGAAACCTCCACGAAGGTGAACTATGGAATATTGAAGGAAGAGCAAAATCACTTTAAGACTTAAGGTTTATCACCTAACGCATTTAATGCTTATCACTTATGACAGATGGAACATGGAAATATCATTGGTTATGTTATAAAACCATTTAAGACTTATGATTTAACATTTAAGATTCAAGAAGATGACCAACTTCCAACTTAAGAACTGATGATAAATGATCATGAATGGAATAAGGAGTGCGCATCCAAAAGTGACATCTCAATTTCCCGCTATTCAAAAATAATTCGAAATATCTTGTGTTGTTATTCCTGAATATTTGTTTTTCTTCTGATTGATACTGAACCGTTCTTCAAAAATACACTAGAATGTCGCAACTCTGTTGCCTCCATATTTGGCAAAAGATCCAAGGAGTGAGCCAGTTTCTGTTAGGCAAGGAATAGTGATTACTTTCAAAATGATGTGGAGATATAATGGATGTGGGAATCATTTCAGGGATATAAATATAAATTTATAGAGTGATATCAGAACATGAAATTTTGATTTCCAACCAGTTTCTAGCTCACTAAACTTCGAAAATCTGTAATGACAGAAGACATGTATCGCCCTAGAATTTATTTTTTTTATAACTGTCTCCATATAAAACTCTTAAGTCTTTAATGTTTGAATGTTGAATCTTAAATGCTTAAAGTTTTTATAAAGTCACCCTTATTCCTAACATTCGGATCATCCACGAACGTCACTTAATATCATACGATGGAGAACAGGGCCAACTATCTAATCATTATTTGAATTGGAATGCATTAAACAAAGTCACGAATAAACGATCTACCGATCAGAAATTAACATTTCAAATTATCGAAAAATCAACAGTTTTGGTGTTTTTTTTTTCTCAACTACTCTATTCTGTCGATTGCTATTCGAAAAAAATGTACAAAATATCACTTCACATGAATCCAGTTGAGAGTTAAAAGTTATATCAGCCAGGTCGAAATTAAAAATACATTCGAACGTTTCTGCTTCACAATTTTTCATGGCATCTAATCTTCCTGGATCTTCCTGAATCTGGTAGAATTTTCTAAAAATAATACACACAGTGAACTTTTTTGACATTACAATAAAACATGAATCTTTTTCAATTTCGGATCTGCATTTCTCTTCATAATATGCCATCTTGAATAGTTTTGATAGAGAGACGTCACTACCAAATTTCAGACAATTTTGATAGATCATTTTTGGAATATCGGCCATCAAAGATATTTATGGCAATTTCACATAATACCCTCGTTTTTCATATACGTACATCAACTCTTTTCCCTACTCACCATTTGTCTATGTGAATGTCCCTATGAATCACCCTGTATATGATGTAGATATGTAAATAATTCCAAGAGATAGGGCATGGAAGAGCAGGATCTAATTGCGTTACTCACGTGACAAGGTTAAATCCAGAATTCTGCCTTTTGATAGGAATGTACGTTATTTTTTTTTTACCACGGAATAATGTAAATTATTGTATGTCATTCGTTCCTGTCAATAAAATCCATTATTATTATTATTATTATTATATTATATATACATGGGGGCATTGAAATAAGTCCAAATATTTCAAAGACTGAGAAAGCTCGACGTGTACTACCGAATGGCACTAATAAATAAAATCAGGGATCAAAATAAAATTTGAGGTTAAACCACTTTTTCCACCCAAAGTTTTACACTGAAGAAAATCTGACGTCACCTCTCTTCAAATTTCCATGCGGTAGGCACAATCACGCGGAGTTTGATTATTTAAATCGTAAAGTGGCGTACTCTTGATTTTATTCTCATATTCTGTACAACTTTGGGGATTGAATTTCTCGTTAATCAGAAGAATTAGAAAAAATCTGATATCATGGGAATATTCCTTAGACTGTATCATATTGATGTGCTGAATATTTGCACTTATTTCAAAAACACCTTGTATAGATATAAATACCGAGTGTATTCTATAAGTTTTCCACTCCAGTGAAATATACAATACGCGAAAAAAATATCAGCCAGGTATCGATTTATCAATATTTGGCCTATAGAAACACCTACTGAGTATAATCAAGTATAGGTCTATGTTTCTATACATACGAGCTTTTGTTCACTAGCCCCTACAGACAGGTGTCTCGCAAGGATAATATATCAATGAAGCTCTAACTACGAGATCTGCGAGCATATGCTGACGATTTAGTCTTAGTAATACGCGATAAATCCAAAGAGACGATCTTCTACGTCCTTCAGGATATATTAGATACCATATATAAATGGTGTGAGGAGGAGGAAATGCCCATTAACCCTCACATAATGGTCATAGTACGGTTCACCAGAAAAAGGAAGCTGGAAAATTCAATACCTCCTTCCATCAATGGACTAACAATTCTACGAAGGCGCTGAAGGGCCACCTATACTTTTTTTTGAAATCCCGACTTCAAAGTCGGGGGTCCGAGATTAAAGTCGAGGGTCCGAGATTAAAGTCGGGGGTCCGAGATTAAAGTCGGGGGTCCGACTTTAAAGTCGGGGGTCCGAGATTGAAGTCGGGGGTCCGAGATTAAAGTCGGGGGTCCGATATTGAAGTCGGGGGTCCGATATTAAAGTCGGGGGTCCGAGATTAAAGTCGGGTGTCCGAACATTCTGAAAATTGGGATCCTTTGATAATTGAACATTCTCTATCCGTTTGAAATATGTTCATCGATACAGTGTTGCCACTTCTATTAGAAACAACCAGCAACTTTGTTATTTCTAATGGAACACCCTGTATTTTATTGCATTTTCAGATTCTTTCTGAAGAGCTGATTTAATCAATGTCAAAAATACAGGGTGCTTCAAGATTCAAAATTCTGATCACCCTGTATCTGTTCTAATTAAATGTCAGTAGACAGTGATTCGAAAGTTAAGATAGGGACATGTGAACCGTTTCGATCGATAATGAATAGTTTCGACACAAAAAAATCTTAACATTGAAAAATCCTGATTTTGATCACCCTATATCTTTGTAATCATTCCTGCTAGAACCCAAGTGTGATACATTGATGAAATCAGCTGTTCAGGAAGAATCTGAAAATGTAATAAAATACAGGGTGTTCCATTTGAAATAACAAAGTTGCTAACTGTTTCTGATAGAAGTGGCAACACTGTCTCGATGAAAGTATTTTAGACGAATAGAGAATGTTCATTTATCGGAGCATCCTAATTTTCAGAATGTTCTGTCTTTTAGTTCTCCAGATACTTCTAATATGCCATCCACCGTGAATCACCCTGTATAATTAGTTAATTCATAATGAAAACTGCGCATTGAAAACTTGATTCTCAACGTTTTCAGAAGGCTTTAAAATTTGGCTATTTATTGAAGAAGATTATGAAAATAGTCCGGAAGGGTTAACTCATACCTACAAATGTAATCATATATCATTGCATTCATCTTTCTGAGCTCTACCCAAGGACGGAATGACATTCAGGGTAGTTCATTTGTGAAAATATATGATTTGTATTGTAATCTTTTTGCACCCTTTGAACAAACAAATGAGATTCTCAGCTATTAAGTGGAATATAAACAATCACCCTATACGTACGATAATGATCGTACAGGTGTGATCCATTATTTGACATTCAGTGTACATCCAAAAAAGAGGATTTTGACTGATCCTTATGTGATGATTATCCAATGGATGTAAAATTATTGTTTGTACATAAATGTACAGGGTGTTTCTCGAGTACATGTAGAAAATTCAGGAGCATGTTGCTGACGTCAAACTGATGAGTAACAATGGAAATTATTTATTTCTGTTCATATTTATATTTAACGAATATAATCTAGCTCCTAACTTCAGTTCCGAACTCTCGACTTTAATCTCGGACCCCCGACTTTAATCTCGGACCCCCGACTTTAAAGTCGGACCCCCGACTTCAATCTCGGACCCCCGACTTTAAAGTCGGGATTCAAAAAAAAAGTATAGGTGGCCCTTCAGCGCCTTCGTACTATTCCTTCTGCGAGGGAAGCAAAATATCTGGGAATAACCCTTCATGAAAAGCTGAATTGGAACTCGCACCTGGAAAAGACTATCCGAGAAGCTAGCCTATATCATTATGGACATGCCACAGAATATGTGTTGAATCGTGGGACATGTAACCAAAACAAGTATACTGGCTACACGTGACCGTCATACGACCAATGATCACGTAATGGCTCAGTAGTCTGGTGGAGCAGAGGCCAACAAAAAATGGCCCAGGCTAAACTTAACGGACTTCAGAGACAAGCTTGTCTGGCGATTACAGGAGTCATAACGGCAGTAATGGAAGCCCTTCTCGGATTACTTCCTCTCCACATAATGCTAGAGAGAAAGGCAAGATGGGCAACATATACAGACTCCATCATTAGTCTACCGCAGGCAGTGGTCA